TCTCTACAACAATCAAATCGGAGACAAAGGAGCACAACATCTCGCTGATGCACTACGAAACAATACGGTGACCCTCATTCTCTCTTCAGCTCTCTCTCATACCCATTCCCACTTTTTCACACAGACACTCACCACATTAGATCTCGAAAACAATCAAATCGGAAAGGAACTGATGGCTCGTTTGGATGAATTGATAAAACGAAATAATCAAAGAAAGAAATAATGAACCTTGATTTGAACTAACGACTTATTGAAGAATTATAATTGCGAATTGAGTGTATAATTTTTTTCGGATTGTTTTTATATTTTAAAAAAATAATAAAGTGTATTGATTTTGGACAAAGTTGAATATGAATTCAGTGAAGATTGCAATTTTGTTTATTATTGCATATGAGTGAGCTTTAGTTTTTGAAGAAGTTATGAATATTATTCAATGTGGATAATATCTTGTTTGTATAGACTTAGAAAATTGAGAAAATGACTATTAAATTAATATTCTCTCTTATGTATTCTAAATAAGTTTAGTGCTCTTTTGCAGATGTATACTGTTTAGTTGAAGATCAATGAGGTCTTTTTTTTACAAATAAAACAGTTTGAAGTTTCGATTGATCTAATAGAGATTCGCAGGAACGAATGTATAGAATTCCACCCTGGAGAGTACAGCTTCCATTGTATATATCAGAAGTAATAAATTTTCACTCGTTTTCAGGTTAGAGATCAGGGGAAGTTAATATAGGTGGTGCGATAACTAATACGAATGTTATTTTTAGAAGCTGTTATGTCAGATATAGGTTAATCACTGAGAAGGATAAATAATAGTTCACAAAAAATTGAAGATTTCTTTTCTATGTTTTCTGATTTTAAAGCATTATCTAACATACTTGATAAAAAAGTAGCACTAGATATTTTGTTGTTTTGAAAGATTAACAACGTGACTTTTGATACATCCTTCATTGTTTTCTCTGATGTACTTTTACTAGGATCTAAGTTCTTATATAAAATTCAATAATACTAGCATGAAATCGGATATTGTTCACTTTAAAAAGGATATATGTTTTTAATATTGATGGTTTTCAAAATATATAGTACAACTGACATAACGAATGAACTGTTAAATTGAACAGTGCAAATGAATTTCAGAAACAAAAGTTCAGATACATAAAATAATGCCGTTGTTCTCTTTATGATGTTTTTACTTCTTGCTTAGAAAAGTTCAAATCTGTACTTTCTTCCATATTTTGCTTTCTTTATTATTACGATTCATTTTCCACGTTTTCTCTCTCTCTACATAGTATATGCATCTCTCTAATGCTCATATATGAATTATCAATCGATAAATTCTTCTATCCATATGGGTTATAAGTATTCAATGTTGATGATTTTTCAAAATCAATGAATTCGAAATCCGACGCCACACTTCTCTAGATGAAAACTATAGTCTCTTTGAAAATTTCGTGTGTATGACTGTTTCTTGAATAACTCAAGAACGGAAACAGCTAGAGACCTACGGTTTTCACCATTCGAAGAAAGGGACACATGGATGTGTTCTTCTTTGATACTGTACAAAACGAATCCATTTTGAATTCAATCATTTCTTCAAAACATTGGAAAATATGCGTGATAATAGTCTATTATTTTTGATGAGATTTTAGTTTTAATACGTGATCTGGATATACTGTAAAAAAAATTCGCAGGATAATGAACCCAAAAAGGGTTGATGAAAGTGTAACGTATAATAAACTCTTTTTACCGTATGTAAAATTTTCCTAAACCCTTTCTAATGGTTTAATAAAGGGTTTAGGAAATAAATATGAATTTCGTTTGCCATAGAGAGCGATTTTCATGGTTATCGATTTAGCGTGGTAGCGTTCCGCTTCATATAACAACAATGTAGTTAAAGATCTTTTGGTATCGTGGCTGACAATCGTCGATGTTCTTATAAAGAACAGCGAATTGGATCTGATTTGAGTGAAGCTCCACAGAAAAATTTCGTTTGTCAAATTTGGCAAACGAATCTTTTCTGTGGAGCTTCATTCGAATCAGCTCCAATTCGCTTTTCTTTATAAGAACATCGATGGTTGTAAGCCACGATCCCGAAAGTTCTTTATGTACGTTGTTGTTATGCGAAGAAAGACGTCGTCAAATGATATCACGAACCGCTCTTCAACGCTGCTTTCCATACTTAGTTGCCATGAATCTAAATAAAAAAAAAAAAAAGAAATAATCATTTGTAACACTTCCATACTTGCATTATTTTCAGTTCGATATTGAACTAAATAAAAGAAAATAAATATCAATATTTATATAAATAAGGGATACTTACTTTGAGGACGTTGTGTTGAATCTAAAGAGAAAAAAGAGACAACTATTTATTAAATTTTCATACTTACAACATTTTTTGTTTGATTTTGAACTAAATAAAAAAAAAATATATATTTATATAAATATAGGATATTTACTTTTAATATGTTGTTCGGATGAATCTAAAGAAGAAAATGATTTTTGAAATTTTCATACTGACATTATCTCGAGTTTAATATTGAACTAAATAAAAATAAATAGATATAGATATTTATATAATTAAGGGATACATACATTGAAGACGTTGTGTTGAATATAAAAAGAAAAAAGAGACAATTGTTTATTAATTTTTCATACTTACAACATTTTTCTGTTTCATGCTGAACTAAATAAAAACAAATATTTATATAAATAGAAGATATTTACTTTTAATATGTTGTTTGAGTAAATCTAGAAGATGATTTGTGAAATTTTAAATACTTACATTATTTTGCATTTCATCTTAAACTCAGGAAAGAAAAAAAATATACAAGGGATACTTAGTTATCACATATTATTCAGATGAATCTAAAGAAAAAAAAGAAACATTTATTTCGCATTGTTATCCTTACAATATTTTAAGCTTGACATTGAACTAGATAAAGAAAACAAAAATATATATTTATATAGATAGGAAATACTTACTTTGAAGATATTTTGATG